TTATGTGGTAGGGAGATGGAATTTCTTTCTCTGCTAGAAAATTCTCAATGTCTCAACTTTTCTCTGTGTGGAATAATAATCAGATCTCCTACCAAGTTGATCAAACTCAGTGTTTGTCAAATTCGATTTTAACATAGTCAAATATTACATAATTCTCTACACATAGACTCTACAACTTACAGTGACATCACTTTTAAAGTTTGTTAAGTGAAACCATCCAATATTTTTCTTTTGCTTTCTGGGTTATTTCACTAAGCATGATCCCTTCCAGGTCCATCCATGTTGCTGCAAAATGCACAAGTTTATATACATATATATCTTTTTGATTGCTGAGTGACATACCATTGTGTATATGTCCCACATTTTCTTAATCTTGTCATCTGTTTTTGGGCATTTGGATTGATTCCACATTTTCCTTATTGTACATAGAGCAGCAATAAACATAGGGGTGCAGGTACCCTTTTGAATCAATGTTTTTGTGTCTTCTGAGTATATACCTAGGAGTGGGATTGCTTGGTCATATGGAAGCTCTATTTTTAAGCTTTTGAGAAACATCCAGGAGCATAAAGGATCAGGGAAGAAAAGAAAAACTAACAAAAGTAATAGAGTAAACATGAAAACAATGAACAACTATAAACCAGAGCTATTTTATGGGAGTCATAGTGGGAATGGGATCAGAACTGGGCTGGGAAGAGTGCACTGGACTGTGGTGACGGTACATGGGTGAATTGGTGATGGGAGGACCAGGGGGATTACAAATGAGCTGGGAAAATGCACAAAATGAAGAATGATGTAAAGAAAAATTATGGTGTAAAAAATATACATAAAATAAATAAAAATAAAGTTTGTGAAGATTACTTTTTTTGTGTGTTTTGATTTCAAACTCATTTTGAGTTTTTGTTTTGATTTCAAACTCAAACTCATTTTGAGTTTGTATCTTAAGGTCTAAAGGACACTTTTTTTTTCTCCTTTAAATTCTTTTTTTTTTTTTAAGACTTATTTATTTATGCATACAGAACTGGGGTACAGGCCAGAGGTGCAGGGGTGTTGAGAGGATTCACCAGAGACAGAGTGGGGAGCAGAACAGGCCAATTGATTAAGTACACTGCTGAGGGGAGCAGTGGTCGTGTCAGGAGAGGTCTGCTGTGCCATGTAGGTCACCTCCGGGGCAGGGATCGAATTCATGCTGAAGTGGCTTTAGCTTCTTAGTGCTATGCTTTAACCTGCTGCGCCAAAAGAGAGGGCCCTCCTTTAAATTCTTAAGTCTGTTTTATTTACAATGATGGAAATCTTTTGTGTATGTTCATTCTGATGTTTCAATTTTACTTTTTCCTTCTAAACTCCAGATGTATTTGTTGAAATCAGTGTAGATTCTGATTAGTTTGGAGCACTTTTTTTTTCTTTTTTTGTAGATTGAATATAGTATATCATTCATATTTATAAAGGTTTTTCTAGATTGTAGATACATCAGGTGGATACAAGTTTTCTTTAAAATGGCACCATTTATATCAAGGTTTTCTTAACTGTTTTGAACAGTGGTTATAGAAGAGCCACTGAGATTTATTTATTTATGCTCACAGAACTAGGCTACAGGCCAGAGGTGTGGTAGGCGAGAAAATTCACCAGAGAGAAAGAGTGGAGAGCAGAATAGGCAGATCTACTGAAATACACCACTGAGGATAACAGCGGGTGGGTGGGGAGAGGTCTGCCAGGCCAGTTGGGTCAACTCCCTGGTGGGGGATCTAACTCGTGCTGCAGTAGCTTCGGAGAGCTTCATAATAGGGTGTTTTAACCTGTAGGGCCGCCACCACGGAGAGCAATTATGTTTGTTTTGTTTTGTTTTGTTTTAAGATTTATTTATGGATGCATACAAGAACTGTGCTTCAGGCCAGAGGTGTGAGATAAGAGGATTCACCAGGGACAGAGTGGTGGGAAGAACAGGAAGATTTATTAAAATACACTTCTGTGAGGAGCAATAGATGAGACAGGAAAGGTCTGCTGCACCATGTGGGTCAGCTCCCTCTCCAGGGGTTGAACTAGTGCTACAGAGGCTGTGGATAGCTTCATTGCCCTGCACTTTAACCTGTCGTGCCACTAGGGAAGGCCTGAGCCAAGAATTTTTAAGGAAAATATTAATAATCCTTTTGGCTCTATCTGCTAATTTGTTTTCCATTAAATAGTAGCTATCTAGTAGAGATTATAATATATCTTCAGGAGCCATGGGCTCCCCGGGGGCAATCAGGAAATCTTTAAAAAAAAAAAAAAAAGCTCTTAATTTTAGTAAGTGTAGAATTTATTTTTTTTTTAATTTGAAAATAAGATTAAGATGAATGTTGTAATTTGAGGTACTTATAGTAGAGAAGTGGTTGCATTTTTAGGTGCCTAACATCTTATCTGGTTCTGCTTCACTTGATACCTGTTTCTAGGAGGGGTTATCCCTAACCCTAAGTGTGTCCTACCTTTTATCTCTTGGGCTAGTATCTTCCTCCTTTACTACAAATATTTTAAGAAATCTTTAGGCATCTCTTTGAGACAAAGATATGTTATTCCATGTTGAAGTTGTAGTATTAATTGCTTTTGAGGAATTTTTGCCTTAAGTTTCTTACAATAATTCTACAAACTAAAATGTGTTCCCTTGCCATTGACACTTTGCTTATTTGTCATAGTGTTTGGCTGACTCCGTACTTAATAAAACAACAGAATTGTGCAGTAAGTAAGATTATGATTGCACATATTTTCACTAACTGTGAATCCTGAGTTCCAGTGCTAGATAGATTACCACTGACTATAATATCCTAGACAAGTTTTCTCTTTAGCCTTTGGGTTTTTTACACTGCCTCTGAGGTCACCATTGACCTTAGAATGGAATGATTCTGATTCTGCAGACACCTATAGAGTATGATTGCCTTATCTACTAAATATTTATTTTTTGGAGTGTGTACTTCTGTCAGATGATAGTCTGCTGCCTGTAGCTGGAAGCATAGTGGCTCAGGTATCACCAAGTACATTTCTCAGGGTCCAGAATTCAATACTAGTAGGACTCAGAGAATTCAGGATACTGTTAAATTCATGGCCTTGACTTACCACAATGAAATGACACCGAGCAAATCAGCAAAGGAAAAGACATGTGGAAGCACTTCAGGGAAACCTGTTTCCAACTGTCCTTTTCTAATAGAGTCATACAAGATTTGCTTAATTCTTCCAGCGACTCATTATAACAACACATGTGAAATATAATTTGTGAGGGAAACTCATTAGTGACTCAGTGCCCAAGGTTTCTGTTGTGGTCTGGTCATTTGGCATCCTCTATACCAGATTTCTAAACTTCCAGAAGGAAGGCAGGTATGAGTATAAACACACCGCTTGTACAATTTAGGAACACTGAACCATCCTTATCAAGGAATGGTGGGAAACCTCCCCCAAATATAACCTCTCAGTTGCCAACCAAGGATCAAACCAGCAAGCAGTTCTTCCTAAGACTGAAATCTCAAGCCTGCTGCATTATCTTCTTCCTGCACATGAAATAAAACTCAATATTTGCTTCTTGCTTGCTGATATTTCACTAGTACAACAGGCCACAGAAATCACTGGAAAGAAATGGACTTTGAGGAATAACTGAAGTCCCATGCCTTCTCTGCTATTAACTTCTTGAGTGACTATGATTAAGGTTACTTAACCTATTGAAACATTTCTGCTTATTACTATTTAAATGGACCATCCTCATTAATGACTTTTAAATAATAATATAACTACTTAGGGATTTTGTTGATTTTTTTTTTACACATGTGTATGCAATATAATGTCACTTGTCCTTGAATTTATTCATTCAACTCATGTCAGTTATGAATAATATGCTGGGCTCTGGAGGTGTAGCACTGAAGAAAGATGTCTTGCTTCCTGGAGGTTATACTCTAGACAAGGAGAGAGATTTTAATATTATACAATAAATTACAATTTGTGGTAAATGCCTGAAAGAGCCAGGTTGTCTGGGTCTGTTCTAGTAGGTTGGGGTCAATCTCCCTGAGGAAATTTCATGTATGTAAGGATGTCAAATTTGAATACCTGGTGGCTATATCAGGAGATCAAGAGGAACATTAGATAACGATCTTGCAGAGATGCTTCTGGGGGGAGTGATCAGTCAACACTGAAAAATAATAATAAAAGAGGCTAATGTAGTTAGAGATTGAGCAAAGGGGAAAGAGGAAGTTAATGAGTTGTCAAGGATAGAACTGAAATCATGTGCTTGAAATCATGCTGCAATCATGGAGCTTGACTTCCATCCTAAAGGACATGGGAGGCCATGTTAGGCTATTTAGCAGTGGGGGTGAGGCAGGGGTGTCACATGGTTAGATTTCTTAGTATTTTGAAAAGCACACCATATAGAGATTTGTTTGAAATTGATAAAGTGGAATTCAGAGACTGTTCAGAAGTCTGGGGGGTCCGATGTTTGTGATTTGAGTGAGAAATGGAGATGGAGAGAAATGCATCTGTTTTAAGTATTTGTTACCAATGCATCATGATTTATGAAAAATATTAGGATTAGTTTCAGGATTGGATATTTTCATTTTCTATGTTAGTATATTGATGGATATATGCTTCCAGACTTCACTGATGCTTGTAAAAAATGCAGTGATGTATTATAGACAACAGTGAAGCTCATTGATTAGTTAATGCTTAGAAGAGTAAGTTTTTACAGAAAAAAATTTTGTGTAGTTGGTTAAGTCTCTCAGTGTTGGGATTTACTTGCAGAAGACTTGTTTTTCCTTAAGTATTTCCCTTTTACTTTTAAAATGATTAATCATTTGATGGTTTATGATTTGCAGTAATATAACTAATTTGAATGAACTTTTTTCAACTTTTTTTTTTTGTTTAGCCTTATGTAAGTTAATCAACGTATGCATTTCTATTTTTAGTGAAGTCTCTTATTGTAGCAAGTAGTAAAGAGGGGGTATTTAGCTTATTTGTAAACCATCTTCTGTCATTTCTTTCTCTCTTCTCAGATAAATTATTAGTCATAACTGTAGCAACAAAAGCAAATGACGGATTCCATCGATTTATGCAGTCAGCCAAATACTTCAATTACACTGTGAAGGTATGATATATCTTTTAATTCATGATGTTATAACATGTGCCAAAAGTACATTTTTCATGACATCAGCAACAGCGCTGTCTCCAGTTCACAGAATGAAGATAAAATTTGGTTCCATAATTATATTAACTTATATATATTTGAATGTCTTATTTTTATTTAATGCTTATTTTTTTGTGTAGAATTGGGGTTCAGGCCAAATGTGCAGGGAGTGAGAGGATTCACCAGAGACAGAGTAGGGAGCAGAAAAGCAGGCTTTACTGAAATACACTGCTGAGGGGGCAGCAACAGGTGAGATATGTGGTCTCTCTGTGCCATATGGGTCTCTCCCTGGTGGCCTGTGTTTGAGCAGAGTTGATAGCTGCTGTAGCTCTGAGACTTAAACCCTAGGCCACCATAGATTGTGTTAAAGATATATTTAGGCCTTAGTAATACTCTGCCACTCACATATTTAATTTCCTTGTATTTGCTGATGTTTTGTATAAACATACTCTGCAAAATAACAGCAAAACTATGTTTATTTTTTCGTATTTATTTTGGGAAAGCATATCATGTACAAACACAACATAATGAAGACCTGACCTGATGTTATCATTTTTTTTTCCTTTGCACTTTGAACAGCTTTGCAGTGGGTTTGTCTTTCAAACTGTGTTCTTTTGTTTATAGATAATTAGAATTTGAATGTGAGGGTGTACATTTCCCCATCTTTAAGAGTTGCTTTTCCTGTGTTCTGTTTGTTTTAGAAGAGCTGGAAAAGTAAACATGAGTTTTAGAAAACTATTTTCAGGGAAATATTTCATAGATACATTTTCATGGAACACCTGGGGAATTTGATGAAACTAGTAAACTGAACTATAAAAGGTCTGCATTTTTATTTACTTGTTTTTCAATAAAATGAGGATTTCAAAGCCTTTCTTTTTTTCTACAATTAAGATGGGAATGTATAGGAAATAGATAGGAAAGCAAGTAAACAAACAATCCTAACACATTTGGATAGATACAGAACACTTTCTTTAAAAGAGAGGCAAAAATTGATTTTCTGACTGTAGAAAAACCTGTGCTATTCCAGTGTGTCATATAGGAAAGAGGTGGTATTTCCCATATAACCGCATTAATCTAGAACATCTATTAAAGGCTTTTAGTAAAGTCTGTCTTACTGGAAAAGATATCTGGTATTAGCAACTAGGTACCTAATTTAGGAAAAAAAAATATATTAGCTAATTGTTAGGATAGAGGAGAATGATAGTATGTGTTATGAGAAGACACTATAGAGACAACAGAAAAAAAAGGGCAAAATAATGCTTAAATTTAGTGATATTTTTGAAATCTAATCTTTAAGGTTTAGGCTGAGGAGAAAGAAGAATGTTTATTGTGTGGAATGTTAGGTGTTTTATATCTGCTGATGCATTATATCAGCCATGTGATATAGCTGTTGCTTTATTTATGGTTGAGGAAAACTTGCCCCAGTATATGTTACTGTAAATTATAAACTCTTGAACCCTCACCCCATTTGAGTGACTATAATTTAACATCTCTTGCTGTCCTTCCATTATGATAGCCTCAAAGTGTGGGCCCTAGACCCTTAGTGTCATCAGGGAAATAATTAGAAATAAACATATTAGACTCCACCCTAGATCTGCAGTATCATCCTCCTTGGGAGTACGATCCAGTAGTATGTGTTTTAATGTGCCCTCCATGTGATTCTCATGCACACTGAAGTCTGACATACTGATGTAGGGGATTGAAAACATAGAAAAGAGCTTGATTCAGTGCATGTCACAAAGTAGGTTCTGAGATGTGGCGAGCCCAGTGTTATTGTATTATCAGAGAAATCCAGAAAGATTGCAGAATAGAAGTATAAAAGGTCTCAGGGCCAGATGAGGCCACTTTTTGGTGCAAAAGCTAATAATTCTACTAGAGTAGCCCCCTGTATGAATTTAAGAACAGAACAGTTTGAGTTTTGTTAAAACTTCCTCCTAACTTTGACATAGGAAATGATGAGGTGATATTAGAAATCTGAGCCTGAGACCCCATGAAATTTGCCAGCCTGGTTTATATTTCACTCAATGTGAAGTGAAGTCAGAAAATATTTATTTTCTAAATATATTTATCCTTCCTTCTGTATTTATTTTTAGTTTAATTCACAATTACTGAGTAAATTTTATTTGGTCAACTTCACTTTGTTATGATGACACTTAGATGCAAGATATATGTAGTATGGTTTAGGGGTGGGGGGGATTTATGCCCTACTCCCTCATAACCAAAGTATGTCTGCATTTAAGGACAATTTACTTCAGGAGGCAGCTGCTGAGGCTAAGGTAAATAGTGTAAATATAGGCTACAAAGTTGATTAGTTATGCTTAGTTTATGATACTGACCAGCTCTTATTAAACTTTTGAAAATAATGTAAACTTGAGATTAGAGGTTAATGGAGGCAATGCTTGACTTAATGCTATGTGTATGCCCTGAACCGACAAATTAAAGATCAGTGTGAAAATCACTTATGAGCCCGATTCAGAATCACTGAGCTTCATAATAGATTTTTTTGCCAGATTGAAAACCGTTATAAAAGTTTCCTTCACTTTCTTTTTCATTTTCGTCTGAACAAATAGAAGTAAAATGTGAGACATACTTGTGGTGCCTACCTGTACCTCT